ACGCAAGTCTAGACTGATATTCTATTAAAGCTGTATGGCTTGCTATATTTGTCTTCTCTTGTTTCTGAATAAAATTTATAGCTATTATTCTTCTCTTATTTTGGATGTAGTGTATCTAAATCGGCTGTAGATGACAATGTCCACCTTGCTACTATTGGATAAAAAGATGAGTATCATTGGGTATAATAAAATCCCGTCGGAACAAAACGTTGGAGATCTATTACCTTCAGGACGTAAGGGCTGCTGCACGATTGTTTGATGAATAGATGGATCAGAAGATTGTACTATCTTTGACAAGGTGAGATCCAATGAGCGGTGTATGGGAGGCTTAAGAGAACAACTATGATCTTAATTAATTTATTGAAGGAGTAAAGACAAAGATGGAAGGGATAGTACATTTGTCACTATAGCTAATGGAAGTGGATAAGCTCAACACCATATGGGAGACCTCACTAATCTCTCAGATTGTGATTGTCTATAAATACGTTTGTGATTGAATTTTTGGTATTGATTGAAAAGAGATTACAGTATTCCATTGATATATATAAGTAGATGTCTATCTGACTTCTAGTAAGCACATCAAGAGACTATTAGAAAGACGAATATAGGAGAACAGTGGAAGAGATATTATTATATGAACAGTTGTTGCATTGATGTCGGATTATGGTGAGGATGAGTTAAATCATCGAGCAACTGAAGATACTTACTTCCAAAAGAATCAAAACTGAAAAACAACGCAATACTTCATACAAAGCTGGCGAGACAGAAAGCTGTTCAAATTGACAAAAGTTTCACCCATCCAACTAGCTCAGTTACAGAAGGAGATGGTGAGATAAGAGAAGGATGCGTCAACTTACTGCAAGCTTCATTTGGCACGAGTACAGCCATCAGATGGCTTACTTTCTCCCATGTTAGGTCTGGTCTTTCCTGGGAATTCAAAAGCAAAGATGCCGCAGGGCAAGTTGTGGCTCTGCAAATGATTGCAGTCATAGGTCCATTCAGCTTTCTATGGTTGGCTAGAGGGTATTCTTCTATAATTAACTTGCGAAGTTCGAACAATAAAACTTTCTACTTTTTAATGTAAAGCTTTGAATTGAACTTCTAATGCTTTGCTTTCTGACTGCATTTTAAGGTGAAAGAGCTATGACATAATTGTTGACTTTACTGTTGTTTTGCTTATTTCAACTATGTCATCATTTTAGTGAATGATTGCCAGTCTACAACTTTTTTCAATTATGTATTAAATTATATATGTTCACATTTGTTTTTAATCAGCATAAATAGAATTTTTGCATCATGTCGTCTGTAAAAGTTGAAGATTTTTGCAGCTAGTGATCGCTGCCTCTTTAACTATTTTTTGTCTGATTTGTGCGTCCTGTTCAACCTCTCGTCATATCTTTTCTGACCTATCAGTCTTTTTGTTCAATTAGTTCATTTGATGAATATAAGGTCCAGAGTGAGTATTCATCTATTCCTATTCATTCCTGTTGATTTAAGTGGATGATGTTGTTGGGATGAGTTAACATCACAACGACGAAACAAGCAAGAAAAAGAAGCAGTGAAAAAATAAAGGACACTAGGATTTAGCATGGAAAAACTCAATTAGGGAAAAAATCATGGAGTCACACTATTCCAAAAAATCCCCTATTGAAAATTGGGATAAATAAGTACAGATCTCTCTTCTTCTCACTCTCTATTTGCTTTCTCTATCACATGCACCATTTTCACTCTCTCACAAAATACAAGAGAAAGCCAAGGAAAAAACTCAAGGGATGCAACCCTTCAAAAAAATGAGAAAAGAAAAACCGTCCAGTCAGTCTCGTAGTGCTGCGGCGCCAGTTTGGAGCGCTGCGTTGCTTAAACCTCTGTTTTGATCCTTTGAGGCATATATCTAGACTACTATGGTATTCCGTTCTATGTCGTTCAGCGTTGGGGCGTTCAGGAACACATCATTGGGTCGGGTACACGGCACCGGAGTTTTTGCACCCGAACCCAAGCGGTGGTAAACCCCCTGCACCCCCAAGCAAGTACGATAAACTTGAGGTCCGGAGGAATAGAACAACCCGATTTATCAACACAATCATATTCCACAACATAACAGATGTGTTCAAAAAATCTTTTAAACCTTCAGATTTTTTGTTAAAAAAAAGTGGACTACCGACCAGAACATGAAATTTGATGCGGCGGACGTGTCAAGAAACAAATGTTATGCCTCCTTGTATCTTTTAGAAAAGGAGATTAACGTTACGTTATTTTTTTTCAATATTATGTCTATTAGTAACTAGTTAGTCTCAGTTATGTCTGGTTGATTCTTTGCTGGGCTTTCATGTCAGTCAGGTCTCCTAATTTCAACTTATTGACAATTGTCAATAACAATACTTTCATCAGTGTTAGATTAAAGGTATGTGCAATAATATGTATGAAGATGGACTGAATGTGGTAAAGTGCAGAACCAAGCTTTGAACTTGGTCAAGCAACAACAACAACAAAAAAAAAAAAAAGGAAAAAGAAAAAAATATGGGATGTGATTAATTGACTTCCATAGGAGTGTTATTTGCCATGCAGATTTATAGATGTTGGGTAAGCTGATAGATTAGTCTTTTTTCAGTAACTTAGAAAGAAAACAATGCACTCAGATTGATTAGGATGGCATTTTCAAACTGTTGACCTACAACTGCCAATCGAACCCAACATCAACCACGTCGACCACGATCACACGATCTCATACAACCGCCCGTCACGTTGTCTAAACTCTCACCCAAACCATTCAGACATTCATGCGCACATAGAAAAAAAAAGTCGGAGGATTTGGGAAACTTACAGACAGAGACGAAACTTCTCCCTCTCGTGTCGTATGCAAGCAAACGAAGCCGGTTGCGACCTCCTGCGAACCCGACTCACGTGCCGAGCCGCACTGCCGACTCCATTTTACAATTCATGCTTGTGACAAACTAGACCCGCCGACAGTGCCATAGCTGGCCCACCATCCCCGCTTCTATGGCTTCTGTCACCTCTTGCTCTTGTTGACTTCATGCTCCACACCGACCTCAAAAATCTCTATCCACGCCTACACCCAACGTCGAAGCTAACCTCCTCTTCCCTCTCCGGCCGTGACTCCAACCCGCCAACCTCAGTCGCTCGAGTGCACCTCTCACTCGTGTCCTAGAGCCACTAAGCAGTCTGCCTCGCGGCCTGACCAGTCGCCGATTGTCCGACCGCCGACCATCACCCGGAGCCTGACTCTGCTCCCGTGAGTGAATCTCACGCCATCTCTGCCCTAACCGTGATGTCTCTTCTTCTATATATATGTATGATTACACATATATATAATAATAATTAATAATATTAATAATATAATAATAATAATAATAATAATAATATAATAATAATAATAATAATAAAATGAAATAAATTAAAAAAAGAGAGGAAAGGAGAGAGGATTTTCAAATTGGTATCACAACAAATTGGAGAAGACTGAAGGAAGTCCCGGGGTTGATTCGGTCCCCAAGCCCTTGGCTCGTCGAACTGATCCGATTGAGGGATTGAAGACTTAAGACTCTTTATGGGAATCGATTCGCTCTCCAATCTCCTGCCGTCGGTTTGATCCGTTGAGTCGAGCCAAAGGGCAATTCCCTCCCAAACTGTAAAACTCTTGAAAAGCTGATTTTTTTAGTGCTGTTGTCTGGATGAAGCTGGCCTTAGTCCCGGCGAATGAAGAAATGTGAAAAATCTGCCTGGATCGTCTGGACGAACCTGTAAGGGTCGGACAACGTCGGATACGAACCGTCGGAACGACACTGAACCCGAGAGTTTCGTCCAGGGACGAATAATTGAATTAATTTCGTCTGGACGTTTTGAGTCCAGAGGAGTTCCGTCCAGGACGAATAGAACGTCCGGATGATGCCTGCTTGATAAATATCCGATTTGAGATATTTTGGATCATTTTGAAGAGAGAAAGAAAGCAGGAGAGAGAAGAGAGAAGGAAGAGAAAGAAGAGCTTAATTTCTGAGGCGGAGCGCTTTTGTCTGACGACGCAGTTGGAAGATTTGTTTGTCTCGAAGTAAGGACTCCATCTATTTCTGATTTCAAAGATTTCGAGTTTTGATAATTTGTGCTCAGTTTGTGTTTCCGTTACCGAATAACGCGCATAATTTTGTATTGACGAAATTTACCACAACATTTTGAATATGTTTTGATATGATATTTACAGTTATTATTATTATTATTATTATTATTATTATTATTATTATTATTATTATTATTATTATTATTATTATTATTATTATTATTATTATTATTATTATTATTATTATTATTATTATTATTATTATTATTATTATTATTATTATTATTATTATTATTATTATTATTATTATTATTATTATTATTATTATTATTATTATTATTATTATTATTATTATTATTATTATTATTATTATTATATAATATGTGTAATACATATATATATATAGAGAGAGAGACATCATCGGGTTAGGGCAGAGATGGCGTGAGATTCACTCACGGGAGCAGAGTCAGGCTCGGCGGGTGAGGTCGGCGGTCGGACATCGGCGACTGGTCAGGCCGGAGGCAGACTGCTAGTGGCTCTAGGACACGAGTGAGAGGTGCACTCGACGACTGAGGTTGGCGGGTTGGAGTCACGGCCGGAGATGGAAGAGGAGGTTAGCTTCGACGTTGGGTGTAGGCGTGGATAGAGATTTTGGAGGTCGGTGGGAGCATGAGGTCAACAAGAGCAAGAGGTCGACAGAAGCTGGAGGTTGGGCCAGCTATGGCACGTCGGCGGGGCTAGTTTGGTCACAAGCATGAATTGTAAAATGGAGCCGGCAGTGCGGCTCGGCGTCGGAGTCGGGTTCGCAGGAGGTCGGCAACCGGCTTCGTTTGCTTGCATACGACACGAGAGGGAGAAGTTTCGTCTCTGTCTGTAAGTTTCCCAAATCCTCCGACTTTTTTTTTCTATGTGCGCATGAATGTCTGAATGGTTTGGTTGAGAGGTTTAGACAACGTGAACGGGACGGTTGTATGAGATCGTGTGATCGTGGTCGACGTGGGTTGATGGTTGGGTTCGATTGGCAGTTGTAGGTCAACAGTTTGAAAATGCCATCCTAATCATCTGAGTGCATTGTTTTCTTTCTAAGTTACTGAAAAAAGACTAATCTATTCAGCTTACCCAAACATCTATAAATCTGCATGGCAAATAACACTCCTATGGAAGTCAATTAATCAACATCCCATATTTTTTTCTTTTTTCCTTTTTTTTTTTTGTTGTTGTTGTTGCTTGACCAAGTTCAAAGCTTGGTTCTGCACCTTTACCACATTCAGTCCATCTTCATACATATTTTGCACATACCTTTAATCTAACACTGATGAAAGTATTGTTATTGACAATTGTCAATAAGTTGAAATTAGGAGACCTGACTAACATGAAAGCCCAGCAAAGAATCAACCAGACATAACTGAGACTAACTAGTTACTAATAGACATAATATTTGAAAAAAATAACGTACGTAATCTCCTTTTCTAAAGATACAAGGAGGCATAACATTTGTTCTTGACACTTCCCCCGATCAAATTTCATGTTCTGGGTCCGGTAGTCCACTTTTTTTTAACAAAAAATCTGAAGGTTTAAAAAAGATTTTTGAGCACATCTGTTATGTGTGGAATATGATTGTGTTGATAAATCGGGTTGTTCTATTGCCTCGGACCTCAAGTTTATCGTACTTGCTTGGGGGTGCAGGGGGTTTACCACCGCTTGGGTTCGGGTGCAAAAACTCCGGTGCCGTGTACCCGAGTGCCCCAATGATGTGTTCCTGAACGCCCCAACGCTGAACGACATAGAACGGAATACCATAGTAGTCTAGATATGATGCCTCAAAGGATCAAAACAGAGGTTTAAGCAACGCAGCGCTCCAAACTGGCGCCGCAGCACTGCGAGACTGACTGGACGGTTTTCTTTCTCATTTTTTTGAAGGGTTGCATCCCTTGAGGTTTTTTCCTTGGCTTTCTCTTGTATTTTTGTGAGAGAGTGAAAATGGTGCATGTGATAAGAGAAGCAAATAGAGAGTGAGGGAGAAGAGAGATCTGTACTTATTTATCCCAATTTTCATAGGGGATTTCTTGGAATAGTGTGACTCCATGATTTTTTCCCTAATTGAGTTTTTCCATGCTAAATCCTAGTGTCCTTTATTTTTCACTGCTTCTATTTTCTTGCTTGTTTCGTCGTTGTGATGTTAACTCATCCCCAACAACATCATCCACTTAAATCAACAGGAATGAATAGGAAATAGATGAATACTCACTCTGGACCTTATATTCATCAATATGAACTAATTGAACAAAAAGACTGATAGGTCAGAAAAGATATGACGAGAGGTTGAAGAGGACGCACAAATCAGACAAAAAATAGTTGAAAGAGGCAGCGATCACTAGCTGCAAAAATCTTCAACTTTTACAGACGACATGATGCAAAATTCTATTTATGCTGGATAAAAACAAAATGTGAACATATAATTTAATACATAATTGAACAAAGTTGTAGCTGAATCAGCTAAAAATGATGACATAGTTGAAATAAGCAAAACAACAGTAAAGTCAACAATTATGTCATAGCTGCTTTCACCTTAAAATGCAGTCAGAAAGCAAAGCATTAGAATTCAATTCTTAAAGCTTACAATAAAATCATTAGTGAAAGTTTATGTTCGAACTTCGCAAGTTAATCTTATAGAAGAATACCCTCTAGCCAACCATAGAAGAGCTGAAGTGGATCCTATGCCTGCAAACTCATTTGGAGAGCCACGAACTTGCCCTGCTGCATCTTTGCTTTTGAATTCCCCAGGATAAGACCAGACTAAACATGGGAGAGGCCCATCTGATGGGCTGTAACCGGGAGGCAAATAAAGCGTTGCAGTAAGTTGAACGCCATCCTTCCTCTGATATCTCACCATCTCCTTCTGTAACTGAGCTAGTTGTGGATATGGGTGGGGAAATTTTGTAATTTGAACAGCTTTCTTGTCCGGCCAGCTTTGTATGAAGTATTGCGTGTTTTCAGTTTTTGATTCTTTGGAAGTAAGTATCTTCAGTTGCTCGATGTTTAACTCATCCTCACCATAATCCGACATCAATGCAACAACTGTTTCATAATATTTTTCTTTGTCACTTTCCCATATTCGTTCTTTATTTCCTGTGTGTCTGTCAATAGGACTCTCTTAGCATTCAAAGAAATATGGAATTTTTTCAAGATACCATAAGAATTCAACAGAAACGTACATATCAAATAAATCTAGGAATGGAATATTCCCATCTGGTGTTGCACCACTTCCATTTAGCAATATGTAAGTCCCTTCATCTTGGTTTTTTATTTTGGCAATAACATAGGTTCCTTCCTGTGTTCTTCGCATCATTGGAGATCCTGGATCAGAGTAGACATCTTCTGACGATCTATCAAACAATATTCGTGGGCTTGCACCCTTACGGCCTGGAGAAATGACCCAGGTTTTTGTCCGACGAGTTTTATACCAAGACTCATATACCAAGGCAAGGGAGTCATCACACCAGGAGATACCACTACACAAAATAAGAGAAGAATAGATATGCTAAATTTTATTCAGAGAAAAGAGGATTAAATATAAAGAACATAAAGCACATATAAGTCGAGATATTTGATTTGGATATGAAGTTTTTACTAAAACTTAGTAGGAATACCCGTAGCGAAGATCAAGTGTATGCAAGATCTCAGGTTCTTCTCCGTTTTTAAACTCGGCTGGCTGTGTATAAACAACATCACGTGGTGAAACTTCCACTTTGGCATCACCTCCATCTTGTGTCTCCACCCTAGAAGATTAGCCATGCTTAATGAGACAAAAAGAGGAACACAGAGAGAAGGGAGGTTCGGGTTTATTATCAGTCAAAAAATGGAGGGAACAGATAGCAAGATAATCCCAAAAATTAAGCAATCACGTCTGCAGATTGATAAGCAATATGAGATGAATCGTAACACTTAATCATTACAAGATATTGATCTGAAACTATACATTTTGAACACAGCATAAAGTCTAGGATAATATACTTTGGACCCATTAATCAATCTTAATGGTGTATATTAAGATATAAGTAATGTTTTCGAAGTTTTAATATGTGAGTATTCTGATAAGAAGTGGATGTTCTTTTGATCAAATCAACTGATGAAACACAAAAAATTGGGAAGAAGAATGCCAAAATATAATTTTTTATTGAAAGAATGATGCAACCTAAGATCTTAAACATTTTAGGAGACATTAGGCATATAGTTAAGAACTTCCTTTCAATTAAACATAAGCAAACACCAACAGAAAGAAACTTAGTAGGAAACAAACGTGAGAAAATAATTAGAAAATCTTGTAAGAAAGAAAATATAAAAACACAAACTATAAAAACCCTCAGAACAACCACAATTGGTCACCGCACATGCAACTCACAAAACTAGGAAAATATGCTCAGAGGAATATTTAACCAGTAATCCACCACTGAAATTTTGATCAAACATAAGTCTGCACTCCTCAGGCAAATACCAATAGAACATGGCACAACACCACCACAAAACTCATAATATTTAGAAAAGAAAGATACTGCTGGAAGGGAAAATCATGGAGGGAAGTAGAAAGAAACCCGAGAGGAAGTAATAGGGATTAGAGAGAAGACCAACTTGCAAGCTAAGAAGAAACCCACATGTTAAATTTTTTTTCTTCCAAAACTACCTTCAATAGAGAATCAACCACTATATATAAGAGGGAAAAATAGCATTTATTTGCTCACATAAATGTGCCTTCAATACAGCAAAAAAAAAACATCCAAAATAGCTCATTAAAGGAGAAACCAAAGCATCCTAAATTGAAATCAGCAAGGGAAAACTGAACAGCCAGCAAGGGAAACCAAACAGCCAACAGGGAAACCGAACATAAAGCAAGAGGAAGAATCCAAGCAGCCACCAACCTAAGGGGAAATATGGGCAAAGCCCAATAAGGAAAAACAACCCTTAAATACCCAACCAGTCACCAAGGAGCAAGGAAGAAAGATCAACACAAGTGGAAGGACAATGATGTGAACCAACCCTAAGAGCACCGAACCCAGCATGATCATGGGTTGTTTTCCATTATAGGGCAATACAAAATAAAATACATAGGTTCAAAAAAGTAAAATTCAGAAAATATAAAGTATTGACAACATCAAAAAACTATAAAGAGCAATGCAAGATACAAATCTTCAATTGAAGAGAAAGATCCGGCTCTCCCAATATCTAGCTGCTAACTAGAGCCCAAATAATCTAAGAATAAACTAAATTAAGCAAACAAGACATCACCCTAACCCTAGGAAAAATATCCTACTTAAAGCATATAATAAATGACAAATACCCAAACAGCTCTCCCCCAATTTCCTCCCAAATCTATCATATTTCCTTAATTATTTCCCTCCCAAATCAACCGTCAAATCAGCCTTCAAATCTGCCTTCTTCAATTAGGAAATATTTCCTAATAAATCCCCTCCAAATCAGCCCCCAAATTGGCCCTCAAATCTGTCTCCTTCAATTAGGAAATATTTCTTAATTAATCCCCTCCAAATCAACCCCTAAGAGCCTGTGTAGCAGGTCTTACAGCTTTTATTAAAAGAAGCCCTTATAGCGGGTCTTATGGCTTCCCTTCGGAGTAGCCCATATAGTGGGTATGACGGGTTCATTTAGAAGTAGCCCATAGCTTAAGAAGTTGGGTTTTACTGTTTTTATTGAAAGTAGCCCATGTAGCATGTCTTACATTCTCTATTTGTCACGACCCGGCCCGGTTAGCTCGTAAATACGAGGCGGGAACGAGATCGGACGCGAAATTTATTTCTCATCAACAATTTCATTCAATTTTAGCTAATCAAAATAAATAAAGCACCTCTACAATATTATCATAACACAAGTCTATCAAAATGTACAAGATGGCCATATAAAATGTTTTCTACACAATTTCTGCATGCCATCCAAAATAACAAAAATAACTACAACATCTACTACTACTAAAGACAGTAAAGGAACCTGTCACCCGATAAGCGTCGTCTGTAAGTAAACCTCGGGTGATCAGCCATCACCTAAGAGTCGGGTCTTCTGAAAATTTCCCAAAACTAGGGAATGAGCTACGCTCAGCAGAAAGTTCTAATCCTAAACATGCTCAGTTGACATAAAAATATTGATTTACATGCTTTAAGAAGAAAGGGGAACATGTGTTTAATGTCTCGATTATGATACTAAAGTGTTCCAAAATGATTGTTATAAGATTGTATGTTGAGATTGTTTTGCTTTAGCCTCTTTCGCATAAGGACCCAAGATAAATTTCTCACAAGTAAAACATTTTCTTCAAGCACAGTTGTTGTTGATGAAAACGTTGTAAATTTAAGAAAGCTGTTGGAAAGTGAGTCTTTGCGGGTTTGACAAGTGCTCTTTGATTTGTGCACCTTCTTATTAACTCAAGTAAGCGATGCCTAGAATATACAAAACTGTGTACTGCCACTGCTTTCTCAAAGCATCGCCTTAGCTTTTGAGTTTTGAAAATGTCCTCCATTATTAAATCCAAACAATGAGCAGCACGAGTCCAATAAATGTGAGGATATTTGTCCATTAATAATTTTTCTGTTATGTCATTATAATTTAAGTTAAGATATATACAAATTCTTCATGAAATAACATAACTTTAGAATAAAAGTTGTGACAAACCTGCAAGAGCATTTTCGGATGCATTATCAGTGACCACTTGGATCACATTATGTGGTCGAATAATCTCGATGTACTTGCAAAAAAGTTCAAACATTTTCACAGTATTCTTGGAGAAAGAACTAGCATCAATTGATTCAATGAATGCACTACCTCTTGGACAATTAACAAGAAAATTGATTAAGCTTTTCCCATTCCTCGACGTCCATCCATCTGTCATTAGAGAACAATTATATCGTACACAATCTTCTTGATGGCGTCGCAATAGCTCATGTGTATGTCCAACCTCTTTCCTCAAATAAGTAACTCGTGCCTCATGATAACTAGGAGGTTTCATACCATGTCCAAACTGCCCAAGTGCCTCCACCATAATAGGGAAACTATCATAGTTCACAGCATTAAATGGAATCCCAGCATCGTACATCCATCTACTAAACACTTGAACAGCCCTTCCCCTCATTTCTTTTTTAGCTGCATCCATTTCTTTGTTAAACTGACATTTTCTATGCTTTACTACATCTTTAGGATTTGGTGTAAGGAAAGTATCTAATGGACCTTTAGGTCGTGATGTTTTGAAGATAGATGTAGATGTCGATCCTTGACTAGATGTGTTTGATTTATTTGTCCGGAACATTTTGGATGGTTTAACAACTAAAATATCACCTGTCATCACATCAAAATCTTCTCCTTCTTCTTCAGCAAGGTTGACAATTGATATATCATTAAACTATTCCTTTAAATCTTTTTTTTCAACATGGATGCCTTAATTTCAGACTTCACGTGCTCGGGACAGTTAGAGCAAGGTCATGCATTCCTAAAACCCCCAACGAGGCGTTGTTTGTGGCGTGTAATTCCTCTTTTTGTTGTTTTATCACAAAAAATGCATATCACACTGTTGTTGTCGGATTCATTTGATAGTATAGCATATTTCCATGCTGGATTTTTTTTTAAAGATTGAACTGAATCTGACATTTTAAGATCACCTAAAAGCAAACAAATTTAGATAAAAGAAACATAATATTGTCCAAAAAACATAATATGGGGGCTGCCGAGGGTCCAAGGGGGCTCTGCCCCCTTGCGGGGTTCGACCTAGGCCGTGCCGCCGGAACAAAATTTATTTGTAAGAGGAATTTTGAAGTTCGTTTGTATAGAAATTAGGGAGCAGTACCAAGCGTGTACCTAGTTGTAGCAAGCTGTACCGAGCGGTACAGAGCATGTAACTAGAAGTACCGAGCGGTACCGAGCGGTACCGAGCATGTACTGAGCGGTATCATGCATGTACTTACGATACCGAGCGTGTATTGAGCGGTATCATACATGTACTTAGCGATACCAAGCGTGTACGGAGCGTGTACCTAGTTTTACCGAGCTGTACCGAGCGGTACAGAGCATGTAACTAGCAGTACCGAGCATGTACCGAGCGGAACCGAGCATTTACATAGCGGTACCGAGCGGTATCATGCATGTACTTAGCGTACCGAGCATGTACCTAGCGGTACCGAGCATGTACCTAGTTGTACCGAGCTGTACCGAGAGGTACAGAGCATGTAACTAGCGGTACCGAGCGGTATCCAGCATATACATAGCGGTACCGAGCATTTACTTAGCGATACCAAGCATGTACCTAGCGGTACCGAGCATACCTGTTAAGTTGTAAATTCTTGTAAGAAATAATCGTGCAAAACAACAGAGTTGTGCGGAACAGACGGAGGTTGCAAATCGGAGTCAGTTGGTAAGATTTTATTGGAACAGATGAGAGAGGGGCGGATTTTGCAAAAGCACTGCTCAGTGAGACGATTTGGCGGAAACGACTTCAACTTCGGGACAGATCGGCTGGATTCGGCGGAAGCAGCGAATGCAGCAAACAGAAAACCTTCGACTTCGGAATAGATTCAGCGACCTTAACTTAGGGACTGCGGGATGTGTTCGGCAGATGCAGCAAACATAAAATCTTTCGTGAAATTAGGGCAATGAATAGTCGTTTATCTTAAAATATAGATATATTTTTAAATATAAAAAATATTCATAAGTATACCGAAATTTAAAAATAATTTGTCGCGCTATTTTGCGCCGAGCGCAATGCGCCGTGGCTCACATGTGGCGCAAATAGCGCGCGCTATTTTAAACACATGCACCTCGCCATGAACATGACGCCGTAGGTGCGCCGCACCGCGCCGTGCGCCATGGCACGAGCTATTTTGCGCCATTGACAGCTATGGCCAGATCAGTGGAGATTGAGTGTTAATTTTTATTTTTAAGAATAAAGGTGATGCATAGAAGTGTGCGAATTATAGAGAAATTAAGTTAATGTGTCATACTTTAAAACTATGGGAGCGAGTTATGGAGCGTACGTTGCGGCGTGATACTAATATTTCTCAAAATCAATTTGGATTCATTCCGGGTAAGTCTACTATGGAAGCCAAATATTTATTGAGAGGTATAATGGAGAAATATAGAGATCTACATATAATATTTATTGATTTAGAGAAAGCATATGATAAAGTTCCAAGAGAAGTGTTATGAATAGTTTTTGAAAAGAAAGGAGTTAATAATGCTTATATTCAAATCATTAAAGATATGTATGCAGGAGCTATTACTTGTGTTCAAACACAAGGTGGTTTGACCAAGTATTTTTCTATTTCGGTTGGATTACATCAAGGATCAGCCTTAAGTCCGTATCTTTTTGCTTTAGTCATGGATGTTCTCACTAAACATTTGCAAGAGTATGTATCTTGGTGTATGCTCTTTGCTTATAATATTCTTCTTGTTGATAAGACTAGAGAGGGAGTTGAAAGTAAACTTGAATTATGGAGATCAACTTTAGAGTCTAAAGGTTTTCGCTTGAGTACATTTAAAACTGAATATATAGAGTGTAATTTTAGTAGCATTAGGCCTAGTGAGAGGATTGTGACTTTGGGCGATCAAGTCATTAATAAGAGTACACGTTTTAGATATCTTAGTTCTATTGTTCAGAGTGATGGTGAAATAGATGGGGATATTATCAGCAGAATTCAAGCTAGATGGTTGAAGTGGAGGAATGAATCGAACTAATTGTGCGATGGAAAAGTCCCACTCAAACTTAAGGGAAAATTCTATAAGATGGTGGTGAGACCTGCAATGCTTTATTGTGTCGAATGTTGGCCATTAAAAGAGAAGCATAATACTAAGTTAAGTGTTGCAGAGATAAGGATGCTTAGGTGCATGAGTGGCTTGACCCTTAGAGATATGATACAAAATGAGCATATATGTGAAAAGGTTGGAGTAGCTCCAATGGAAGATAATATTAAAGAGAGTCGCCTTATATGGTTTGGTCACATTAAACGAAGGCCTTCTAATGACCCGGTTAGGAAACATGAGGTATTAGATTCAACTTCTGTTAAGAAAGGTAAAGGTAGACCTAAAAAGACTTGGTTAAAAAATATAAGAAATGAATTTTCTTTATTAGATTTAAATCAGAATTTGACTTTTAACCGGACACAATGGCGAAAAAGGATTCATGTAGCTGACCCCACATAGTAGGACAAAGGCTTAATATTGTTGTAGTGCTATTTTAGGATTAGATAGGGGTATATAAAGAATATTAACAAAAATATTTTGAGAGTAAGACTCTAGATCTTCAAATTTTGTCTTGTGCATGAGGAAGTTAATTTTATGTGGAAAAATGTACCTACTAATGTTAAAATATTGCAAAAGATATGCTTGAAGTATCAAAGGGAAAAGCTCCTACTAGTAAAAATAATTAATGGTGGAATCAAAATGTACAAGAAAAAATTAAATAAAAAAAAAAAGATTTATTATAAAAATTAGTTTACTGGGAAATGATATAAAAATGTCTGTAAGAAGTCTAAGAAAGCAATATGTGATGCAAGATTTTAGTTTTTAATGATTTATATAATATATTACATACTAAGAATGGCGAAAGATATATTTATAGGTTAGCCAAACAAAGAGATATGGGTAGGATAGATTTAGTTCAAGTGAAGTGTATTAGGGATGAAGATCAAAAAATGTTTTTATTAGAAGAGAATATTTAACAAATGTGGATGAGATACTTTGTTAAACTTTTCAAAGAAGATTGTAAGAATGTGTTTGACTTTAGTGACCTTAGCACCCAAATAAAAATAAAGATTTTTGTTGTTATTAGTGTTTAGTAAAACCTATGTTAGAGAGGTTTTAAAAAAAAACGTAGTGTGGAAAAGCTCTTAGACCTAATGATATTCCAATAAATGTATGGAAATGCTAAGGAGAAAAGAAATCTCATGGCTTACTAAACTTTTAATATTATTTTGAAGACTAAAAGATGTTAGATGAGTAGAGAATGAGTGTGTTGATTCTTATTTTTAAGAAAATAGGTGATGCACAAGATTGTACGAATTATAGAGGAATTAAGTTCATGTGTCATATTTTAAAACTATAGGAGAGTTACGGAGCATAGGTTGCGGCGCGATACTAATATTTCTCAAAATTTAATTGGATTCATGCCGGGTAGGTCAACTATAGAAGCTATACATTTATTGAGATGTTTGATGGAGAAGTATAGAGAGAGTAATGAGGATCTTCATATGATACTTATTTAGAGAAAGCATATGATAAAGTTCCAAGAGAAGTGTTTTGTTGAGTTCTAGAAAAAAAAGGGGTTAATAATACTTATATTCAAGTCATTAATGATATGTGTGCATGAGCTATTACTTGTGTTCAAACACAAGGTGGTTTGACCAAGTATTTCATATTTCAATTGGATTACATCAAGTATCAACCTTAAGCCCATATCTTTTTGCTTTAGTCATGGATGTTCTCACTAGACATTTGCAATAGGTTGTACCATGGTGTATGATTTTTGCGGATGATATTCTTCTTGTTGATAAGACTAGAGAAGGTAAACTCGAATTATGGAGGTCAACCTTAGAGTCCAAAGGTTTTTGTTTGAGTAAATTTAAAACAGACTACTTAGAGTGTAACTAAAGAGAAAGCACAAGCAGAAAAGTAGAAAGCAACTAAAGAGAAAGCACAAACTACAAATAAATACAGCCTAAAAGTAGAAGGGAGCTTGATCAAGTGGTAGTGGCTAGTGGTACTTGTAAATAGATGCAAACTGCTCGCCAAATCAAGTCATATCCACCTCATGCTACTTCTGCTGCTATTGAATGTGAGTATCAAGGCGTGCCACCAACTGATCAAATCACTGAAAAAATGTGTCGTAGTAAGGAAGCTCGTATGCAGGTGCTATAGCTGGTGCTATAGTTTGTGCTATAGCTAGTGCTAGAGCAGGAGGAGCCAAAAGGTCTCCCCCTGCCTCGTTGAACTTTGACTCTTCGTTGGGCTCTTCCCCTTGGTAACGATGAAAGAAAAGATGAAAAAAGCCATCAAAGTAGAAAATAGGAAATGTATTTTCCAGTACGGGATACATAAGCTGATACTTCTGATCAAAAACATAGGCAATTAGGTGACCTAGTGCAAGGTTATGCTTATGATAGGTTGTTCACATGCAAAGGGAAGTGAGGTTTTGAAGATAACTAATGATCATTTGAAATTCATCAAAAGAAGTGTCGAACATAATCATTTAGGTAACTACAGACAGAAGTGGAGAGATATTTACTTTATCTCCAGCTTTAGGAAGAATATAAGTCCAAAGAACATGATAGATGATATGAGCGTTTTGATTTAAGGACTGGACAAGGGGCTGGTGTCAGTTCAGATGAGTGTTCCTTTTAATTAAATTTATTTTGGTCCAGTCATAGTCTCCCCTAGAAGATACAACATGGGGTTGAACCCCTTCTGTGGACAGGTGTAACTACATAGATATGTCATGTTTGACAATTTTTATGGGTCATTTTCAAACATATGAGGTCATGATAGAGAAATCAGCATACTCGCAAGCTCACAAAAAATTCATAGAGAAGTTCGGAGTTAAAAGTGAAGGCGAGTGTGAAGAGAATTTGAAGAGTACTGGTGGCAAAAATGTCTTTTACTCAATAATTGAGAATTGATTGGTCAGGAATGCAAGGGGGGTAATGTGAGCTTCCTTGAATCTGTGGTAGGCACATTAATCCTCAATCGTTTGGAACCGGTCGTCAACAGAACGACGAGAGGAATTGCCTTGAAGTAGTTGATAGGCTCGCTTGCCACCGACCATAAGAATCTTAAGAATAGGAATTTAGAAGCTATGTGATGAATATGAAATTGTGTAAATGAAACCTTAGAATTCCTTCTCTTATGTAATTTTTTTAGCAAATCGTACAGCACGATCGAGATTCATATTAGATGATCATAAGGATTAAATTCATCTCGATGATTTATTAAAAAAGTGGTAAAATTATATAGTACAATCAGGATCGTACTGGACGATCTTCCAGAGGAGTCATTAGTACAACTTTGACTAAAATCATATAGTACAAAAAGGTATTCATAAAGTACAATGCCGTTTTGAAGATCATACCAGACGATTAATTCGTTCAATGATTACTGACACGTATATCATACAGTACGAAAGGTTGAATCATATAGTACGATCATCAATTATTGGTGAGATCAGAGCCATTTATTTAATGAATGCTGTGGATGTCTAGTTGTGTGTGGATCATACAATATGATGTGAACAAATTTTTTAAGTTTTAACTTTTTTTATTTTAAGATGTGGTTCAATGTGTGTGATGAATAGGGAATACCTACTAACTAGAAGCAAACAAAAATAAATAAAACCAACAACAAATCAATAAAGAAACATGCATTACAAAATGTAATACATATTTAAGCACACACAAAAACAACTGGTTACAAATGATTGATGAATTCACTTTCATTCTAAATCAAGCTTGAATGTCAATAACACCTAGTCTAGTCCTCAAGGTGCTAAAGGTGTCATAGTTTAAGCTTTTGGTGAAAATATCTGTCAATTGATTTTTAGTTGCAACATGATGCAGTTCTATATCTCCCTTGGCTATATGATCTCTAATGAAATAATGTATAATGTTTATATGCTTATTGCGGGAGTGTTGAATTGGGTTTTAGAAATATATATGGCACTAATGTTATCACACATGATATAAATGATGCCCACGGATAATCCAAGATCTAGGATTTGTTGCTTTAGCTATAAGACTTGAGCAACACAACTTCCTACAGCTATGTATTCTTCCTCAGCAATAGATAGTGCTACTAAATTTTACTTCTTACAAGATCAAGAATCTAATGATTGCCCTATAAATTGACAAATTCTTGAGGTGTTTTTTCTATCTATCCTACACCCTGCAAAGTCTAAGTCTGAATATCCTATGATTTCAAAAGAAAAGTTACGTCTAGGATACCAGATACCTATGTTTTGGGTGCCTAAAAGATATTTAAGAATTCTCTTAACTGCAGTGATGTAAGATTCCTTATGATCAGTGCTTGAAATCTTGCACACAGGTATACACTAAACATTATATCAGGTTTGCTAGCTGTCAAATACATAACTGATCCTATTATCCCACTATACTTCTTCTAATCTACAGATTTTCCATTTAGATGATTATCTAATAAAATGGTAAAGCTCATGGGTGTATTTATTGCCTCTGCATTATTTATATCATACTTCTTTAGAATATCCTTGATATATTTACTTTGACTAAGAAATGTTCCATCATCTAATTGTTTCACACTAAATCTAAGTAAGCTCTTCCAACATACGCATCTCAAATTTCTCGTTATTTTGAAAATTCATCACAAAGATTTTTATTGGTTGATCCAAACAGTATATCATCTACATAAATTTGAATAATGAGTAAGTCATCTCCTATTTTTTTAGAAACAGAATGGTATCTACACTACCCTTAACAATAGAACTATCTATGAGAAATGTGCTTAGCCTCTCATACAAAGCTATAGGTGCTTGCTTCAACCCATACAATTCCTTTTTCAATTTATAAACATGATTGGAAAATGTTGAATGTTCAAATCCAGGGGGTTGTTCTACATAAACATCTTCTTTAATAATCTCATTCAGAAAGGCACTCTTTACATCCATTTGATACAGCTTGAAACCTCTAAAGCAAGCAAAGTCTAGCAACACTCTAATGGATTTTAACCTAGCTACAAGGGAAAAAGTCTTCTCAAAATCAATGTCATCAATCTGATTGTACCCTTAGCTAATAACTTGGTCTTATTCCTAATCACTACTCCAGAATCTTTCATCTTATTTTTGAACACCCATTTGGTTTATACAACACTCTGGTTCTTAGGTCTACTAACCAATTCCCAAAATTTATTCCTAACAAATTGATTCAATTCTCCTTGCATAACTAGGATCCAAATTCATCAAATAGGACTTGATCTACACTAGTCGGTTGTACCACGGAGATGAATGCAGAATGACTAACCTCATTCTTAAGTACATGCCTAATTCTAACTCCTACAGATAGATCTCCTAAGATGAGTTCCCTAGGATGACAAAATGAATATCTTCAATCTCTAAACAATGGCTCCTGAGGTTCTATTCCATCTCCTAGGTAACTAATCTTAGGAGATCTGATGCTATCAAGAATTTATGTACTTTTTATTTTATTTGAACAATAGTATATTTTGTTTTCTATTTTATTTTCTTTTCTTTTTTAGCTATCCAATGATGGGAAAGCATCCAATGATCATGGTATGTAGTGCATATGGCTTGGTAGATCTTTGTTTGCTGGCTCGATTGGGCCCTGGCTGCTGTGGTTCTCGGGTTGGGCTGTTTGGAGCCATTTCGGTTTTGAGCTTGTTCTCTAAAGTTGCTTGAGCTTGAAGTTTTAGAGCTCTTAATCCTCAAAAGGTACCTGCATTATGAAGTTTACTTTTGGAGTGGCCTTGTCCCTTACCCTTCCCCTTTTTCTTCTTGTCTCTTAGAAAACTGTGGCTTGCTATTAATTGGGGCTGAATTCTATGCTTTGAATTCATTGGAAGTTAATGAAATTTTAAATGCTATCATTTCAGCCGGCTGATATTTCCATGCCTGGGCCTTTTACCAGAAACATTAACTCCTTGATTCCGTGAACCTTTTTGGCTTCAGTGAATAAAAAGCTTAATTCTGGCGGTGCTGCTTGCTTACCGAACATGGACTCCTTAGGTTCCAGAACTGCCCTTTGATTCCTGTTCTGGTTTTAAGAGGGGCTGATTTCCGAAATGGGATGCTTTTTCGTAACTATGGCTGCTTTTGAATTTTTCGGTCTGCTTGCTGGTTCCAGTGAGATCTGGGCTGTTTTTCCAAAATGACTCGTTGTGATAATCCTTTGAAAATAAAAGCTTGGGATGTTGTGAAATTACTTAAGGTGACTTTTGGCATTTCTCTACTTTGCTATAAACAAGAGATGATTGTTGTGAAGGGGAGTTGATATTTTGAGCATAAATTTGCTATTAAACCTGCGGGTTTGATTCGGAAATCTGCGGGCTCTTTCAACCTTCTTTTCGTCATCCCCTCCGGAAATCTGCGGGCTCTTTCACCCTTTCTTCTCGGGCCT